GGATGACGTAGCTGAAGGATCGACATGCAAAGTCACTATTACTCTGTGCTCAGAACTTCTGCCAAATCGATCGAATTTCGATCAGTGAGAAGTGAACTGCTAAAAGAATTTGGCCTTCAGCTATATCAGGTAAAGACAAGCTACGCGAGTCGGAGACATGAAAGGTGCTGATCACGAACTAACAAGTACTGACCGATTGCTACAAATTTACCGCATTCAACACTGTGGATACTTTTACGGTACTTGTGCTGCATAAAATTGATTAAAGAGTCAAACTTGGGTGTTGGCTTATTCGCTAAGTTGGGCGATTTGATTGCAAACGCTTCATCACCAATCGAGGTGACATCATCAGTGCGTTATCGGGGAGAGTAGTGGTGCGTAGCGGTGGGTTGGTGGTTGTGCATAAAGTGAAACGTCACAATTGGTTTGAAATTTGTTCAAAGCTGTATTTAGTCACCTTGACTAGTAGTGTTAACACGCCGTTCCGTGAATGCCGTCGCTGAATGTCAAGCGACGGATAGGGTGGTGGCGGTTAGAGAAGGGGATGAAGAGGGTGTTAAAACAATTCACGTAAAGAGCCAAAGCTCCGTAAGGACCAAAGATATGGTGTTACTCCTCATCACGAAGTATGTGAAAGGTAATGACTAAAAGCCATCTTTTATTCAGTCGAATAGAGAGATATCAGTTATCTCAGATGAAGACAAACACCCAGTTACAAATTAAGTTGGTATCAACCGAAGGCGCGACTGAATTCTAGCTGATAGTCCTCAGCTGAGTGTATTGCACAAAGACCGCCTCATGATGCAGGTATGACGATATTCGAGGTTGATAAGTACGTTTCTTGATATCAGGATTAGTGTCGAAGGGTTTTTATCAGCCTACCGAGTAGTAGTATTATATCAAGTCATCCAATTGTTCTCAACGGTTTTTATTGGGGTTGAATGTTCAAGCTCCCCGAAATCCTCCTAAATGAGACCTAAGGACCGTGTTAATGCTGTAACACGAAGAACGTACCGACTTCTGCCACATGAATTTTCGTGATGTCTTGCAAGTTTTAGAGCGGAACAGCAAAAGGGACTAATCGTATTCTCATTTATGGTGGTGGGGGGGGGGCGTGATGTGAGCGTTTGTGAGATAAATTGCGGCTCCTTGTTTTTTTGGTGACCGTATACGAGGCTTAGGTTTGAACAAAGCTAAATGAATTTATAACAGTTGTATTGTAGCGTGAGAAAGTGTAATCAATCACTCAACGTGACGATCTACTGATCGAGTTTGGCCAACGGTTCAGATAATTGCTATTGTGCCATTTGGGTGGGACCTAGAAAGTGTTTCCTGTGTAGCCTTTGGGACTAGTTCCCTCACTGAGAGGTAAACTTCGTGTCCGGAAGGATGCTTGTTGTCCGGGGGAGGGGGTAACATACTACGAAGTTTACGTTTGTTGTTTTAATATGACCTGCATGCAAAACTCATTTCATTTCCATGATTGATAACCAAATGCAATTGACCGTGAGAATCTAGTTGAACGAATCCCACAGAGTACACTTTTTTTACATAAGTAGGATCGACGGATTATTCGCTGGGTAAACCTCAGTTCTTTAACAGTTAGAAAACGGGGCAGAGAGGAGATAGAGACTTGGGCTTGTAAATGTCAGTTTTTCTTCGTTTGATCTGTTTATCAGCTGATTTGGATCCAAGACGCATAAAACTAGGCTAGAATACGGTTTGTTCTAGTTTCAGCCAAACACAGCTCAAATTTCACCGTTCTTTGCAGACCTTTTATTCCTTTCGCAACATTCTGTGGCAGCTTTTGCGTCAGACGATATTGTTCACGATGACCAGATTTGTCTCCGTTTAAAGCAAATCTTGCAATCTCCAGCATACCACGTGGTCTTGGAAAATGGCAACTGAATAGTGTTCATGCATTGTCACAGGTAAGCAGAATGTACGATTCGGCTGTAAATCAAACTGCATGCCGTCTAGGTACATTAACGTTGAACCCGGAATTGTCTATGATCAAGAACAACATCTCATAATTTATGGATAATCTTTCAACGTTGTTCCCCATGAGACACCTGGTGGATCGAGATCACTGTTTAGGAAGTTAGTCTATTTTTCTCCCCCCCCCTCGCGAACCCCCCCCGCGAATAATCAAATAAGCAAATTACGAAGAAGAAACCTCATACACATCAGCTAAAACCGGCTAAGCACTGGGCGCATTGTGTGAAATAATTTTGCGAAAAAAGTCCTATTTTCCCATCTAAGTCTTGAATTTTGACGCTCAGTCATTAGTCAAAAAGTAGTAATTGCGAACATCTTTTGGCCTTATGGACAGTGTCACAAGAAATCGGTCAAAAATGCTAACGAATGATAACGAATCGTCTTAAAATAGTTTGTCTGACATGGTGTATGAGTGGTAAGTAAAATCTGACTTTCTCTGGTGCTACAGATGGAATTCAAGGTTGCCATTTTTTAAACGAATGATAACGAATCGTCTTAAAATAGTTGGTCTGATATGGTATATGAGTGGTAAGTAAAATCTGTCTTTCTTTGGTGCTACAGATGGAATTCAAGGTTGCCGTTCTTTAAGTCCCGTGAGATTTTAGGACTCAAAACATCGACTTTTACAAAGTTTTTTTTGCGGACTGGCCGGCCCCAAACAGTTGTGACAAGAACTGCCACATTGTAAGTGGTCTTGCCTCATCAATGGGATAATTTTGAACTCTGAGGAGTCAAACATGAAGACGAGACGGTTACGTGAAATGTCAGTTCAGCCAAATTAAATGTGACCGAGGACAGGTGTGCGAATGACGAAAAAATCCACTTAGTCTGAATACTGCAACACTAAGTGAACGCCAATCACCAGGAGCGTAAGGATCACATAAAGATTCTGAAGGTGCAAATACTAAAAGCACGAGAATATGGCCTATTCACGGCACACCAATCGGATTAAAATGGTTCTAGTCTGACTTCTGATCAAGCTCCTCACACTCTTCAAGATCATTCTATCTTCGCTTTCCATATTCCCAGTGTGAGATCGCCTAGGGGTCACTTACTTTATCTTTCCAATCCACAGTGTTCCATCTATTCTTCTACCTTCTCACAAGAGAGGTGACAGATCTGTTTGTGACAAGTATCGTGGCATACTTTCATTGGATGTAGCTTCTAAAATGTTTGCCCTATTTGTGAATAGATTTGCCAGCTAAGGACACCTTCGCACCGAACCAGGTAGTTTTGAAAAAACGGAACGGTCGAACTGATCAAGTATTTGCTCTCTACCTTGTGCTAGAACGACAAAAATATCGTCAAACAACTGTCGCCTGTTTCACCTACTTCCGGTCAATCGGTCGCCCGAGCGGCTTTACATTTTCACTGCGAAATCCGGACAGTGGGTATATCAGACACTTGCAAGATGGAGTTCATCGAGTATTGTTGTATGAGAAATACTTTCAAAGCACGTCCCTAAGACTGCGTGTGAAGAGGTACGCCGTCGATATTGTGACACTGCTTGAGTCGAGCAGCAAAACGTCCACGCCGATGGTTTGGGAACGTTCTTCACCGCCCACATACAGACATCAGCAGAGCATTGTTCGTTCCTAATCTAGGGCATTCCGAGTTGGTCAGCTAAAAGGCTGGATCGACAATGTTAAGTCTGTGCCTACAGGCTGTCTAAAATCCATGCTACCGGGGCAAAAATAGATCAGTATTTTGTACGGAGGCCAGCCGTCCCTAATAACCGAACACCACATCATTTGAACGGATGTGTCACGTGCAGGACACGGGCCAAACGAAGGCATGCCCTGATTGGTCAGAATGCCAGCCAATCCGGGTCAAGCACCTTTCACTCGACGCTTCTTGCCTCCTCACGGGGATTCTGGCACGATTTTGTGGAACACTCTGTGACTACCCTCTAAATACAGTTGTAATAATTTTCCTTTGTCTCCATAAAGGGGTTTGTGGAACTACCGTGCCTTTTGATATACCATAGTGGGCGGAGCAGTAAGCCAAGAGACCGATGCAGAGTTGCACTACAGTTCAGCAAGTCACAACAATTTACAACAGTGTAACCGCTGATCGCCATTCTTGGGCAGCTTTGAATTGAGATGTCCAAGAAGTCAGGTCATCATCACGCAGGCAATAGCCGAAGTGAAGTAGAGAAAGTGAAAGTGGAACGCGAAACTCTGACAAATCGGAATTCGGACCAGCTAGGGGCTACACCGGCATATTCACACTCCACTAGGCGTTAGTGCACTGCCATATGTAGAGTAGACCCACAATCTTCGTGTTCCTCGACCTCAAAGGTGTGTTCGACTCTGCCAGTTGATCAGTTATTCTAAGCTCTAGATATTTGCGTATCCATGATTGTCACAGTAGCGAAACTTTGCAATTTCGTCAGCACCCACAGTATAGATTACCATGAACTTGGGAAAGACCACAAAGACATTCAATTAACAAGGAAAAACGATGCCAGTTATTGTAAAGCCGATCATTACCGAGCTCTTTTGTGTGCCTCTACGCTTTTCTAACTGCTTTCGGCATTGCAAACATGAAATATTCCAGCATATAGATGGCACTGTATGCATAACGAAGGCTGAGTCAAGTCCAGTTCACTTCACTCATGCAGCGGACCAGTCTATTAGCTGCGATGATAGCATAGTAGTGATCCAATAATGAACTTGGGCGAATGATATCGTGTTGTCTCTACTAAGCACTAATTCAGGCATTAAAGGAGCCAGAAAAAGTCCTTTTTGTGGAATCCGCTTCCACAACAGTCACTTCGACGGAAACACTCTGTATCGCTAAAACTATTTTTCGATACGGTAGTGTATCGGGGGACTGTACCGTACCGAAAAGGAATAATCCGAAAATGTTCTCCAACGAGTGTTTTCTTGTCTATTTCGCCCCCGTTTGATGAGCCTTTTGAGTTCTGGAAAACAGTTTCACCTTTTATTGAAATGAATTCCCTAGGTATCAGATTGATACAGCTTAACGTGCTAACTCACGTTCGAAATGACAGCCAACCTGACGAGAATATCCAAAATACGAAACCAGACCCCGATATTTTGAGCTCGTTCAGCTAATGGACGCTGAGTTTCACAAACCAGCTTGTTTGCATCCAGGCGGATCTCTATCCAGTTATTGAGCAGTGCAAAGAATGGAGCCAATGGGAATGCTGCGACAAAAATTGTGATGAAACCGAATTGGAGCACTGAAAAGAAAAAAACATGTTAGTTAGTTGAAAGTCGAATGGAGTATCTTGGCGCCTGGGCTTTTACCGCCACACAGCATCCGTGACCAGTTGCAATGAACAAAAAAGATAACTTGGTAATAAAATGACTTCCCAAATTCGTCAAATTCTTCAAATTGTGAGAGTTGGGCTCCTTTAACTACAGGGAAATACAGTCATTGACAAGTTACAGTGGTGGTGATAACAGATCCAGCTATATCTGTCGCTTATACTGTGACACCTTTTATTTGAATGTTGGGAACATTGCTGAGAGCGGTTGTGAATTTGAGTCTTAAAGATGAAACCCTAACCCAGAACCTCTCAGCTACTTTCAATCCGTAGTACGTCTAAACAAGGTGCCAAACCAAAACATCTTTTTCATAGCGTTTGAAGAATGGTACCTCCCACCCAATAGTTTGTATGCTCTGTAAGCTAGAATACTAAACCATATACCTCATGGACTTTTCAACATTTCGCAGGACCTGTCTAGGTGAATAAGTCTAAAATACCACACGGTATCCATATATTTTCTTCCTAAGTCCAAAACTGTACTTTGTGTTTCCTGTGTAGCTGACAAATCATTGAATACTAGGAAAACGTTGAAGGTCAGCGAGAATATCTGGATGTGCTGAAGCTCAAACCCCATCTGTTATTTTCAATCTCTGGTTTACCCATCTTCCCATAGGGCTCTTTCTGTCTTTCAATGAACGGCGTGTTTCATTCCGACAGGTCCTTTTATGTGGTCAACACAAATCAGTGTTACGTCGTTTACCAATGGTTTCTTGTCCGTGTTTCTGTTGTCAAGCAGTGCAGGATGGTGGAGGTACAGTATATTCGTGGTACTGGCCACCATTGCGTGGCTGACGACTGGTAAGAGCATGTCATTGGGGCATTTCGTCCGCGGGATTTAAATCAGTTTCTGTGAGAAGGAGGAATTATGTTTGTCTCACTTCCGGGGCTTGTTTCAACGGTGGTCACCGAAGTGGACAAATATTCGCGTGTCACGAGAGAAGACAAGGTCTTTTGCTCAGTAATCATCAATGGCGAATTTTTGGATGTCGTTTTTAAGGAATCTCTTAACGAATACAAATTACCATTAATGTGAGCGAAAACATCACCGTTTTTGTAACATGCTGCATCGCAATCACTAACAAATTGAGCTAAACGGATCATATCTTCAGGATCTTTAGGAGTTCGGTGCCACAAGACAAGGATAAAGTTTTGAGCTGGGGCGGTTTCGCGCAGCTTTCGCACAAAACTACGCCACCGCTGCTCGAGCGGCTCCTTGGAAGACACTTTTGCAGTTTAGGGTGTTGGAAGAATCATGGATGAGTAGTGGATCGAGAAAATTAGAACCGGGATCGATACGACAACTTACCAAATTTTATACAGAAAAAGAAGGATGTCATTAGTTCCAGGTTGTTCAAGCATTTAGCTTGAAATAAGTGCACAACTATTGTTAAGCACCACTCGAGACTCTGTTGAAAGCCATGGTAAATGTGTTTGAAGGATTGCTTTTTATGTAACCGGGAATGAATACTCATTTGGAGTTTACACTCTTCTAGAAAGTGGTGCACAACTTTTCCAAAACTGATCATTCCACACATTTTATCTGAGGTTTGTCCAAATATTCTGTCGAGTTATCCTACGTATATTACGAGGCTCTCATTAAGTATATCACCTAAATCCGGTAGCGCTCACCAATACGTAACGGAAAGAACGTGGGCTATATGCGTGTTGTTCCAGTCCCAAGTACATCACAACAGCATTGGACGGTCTCTATAGAGTCAGCAAAGCCGTTCCTGTACTCACACGAAGAGGATCATACGCATTCCGAGCAAGAGGATGAAGAGTGCGGTACAAACGGGAAATGAAACAAATGATGCAATGGTAACATTGTCACGAGGCATTTATCACTCCATGCTCGAGACAGGGACAACAGGGCAGAACTAGTTTTGGAAGTGAAACACTTCCCGTAGTACTCACCCATTTCCAAATATTCATCGAATAGTCCCTCATAGGGAATCAGCTTGTAGTCATCCAAGTACACGCAATCCGAGGTGATAGTTGAATTGGATTTCTTATTCAGTCCTTTGGATTTTTTGTGCCACCATCCTCTGATTTTGCTGTTTTTTTTTTGGGGGGGGGGATAAGGATAGGAAAATAGAGAACAGAAGAGGGAGCTATACGAAAAGTCTGATATGCTTTGTGCTCATCTGTTCTGCTCAGTCTTTCAACCTATTCGCATATGCCGTAACAGGTAGAAGCGAGGTTCGCAACATTGTTTAGACAACTGTGCTGCATCCAATTTGCTACAAAAATGAACGAAATTCATTCTGAGACAAACTAGCGAACCAGAAAAACTGTCGGAAGGACTTTCCACACTACTGCAATCTTAAAATAGCAACCACCTGACAGGTTTATCAATCAACTGACGGGGAAAATCGCGTCGTCTACAACTGATTCACTTTGTACGAGTGGGTTGTATTTTTCCAGGCCATTAAAATTTGCAGATTAGTTGGATCCCGGCAGAACAAGTTTCCTACTGTCCATTGACAGATGTTTTGACCCAAAAACAATAGGTTGGAATTTCCCCGGCAAGTTTCCTACTGTCCATTGACAGATGTTTTGACCCAAAGACAATAGGCTGGAATTTCCCCGGAAAGTGTAGACATGCCCTCTGTGGAATCTGCTGATAAAGTGAACAAAGTAATACGTGTAACAAAATCGCGAGGGCATTCTCCCCCCTGCCACAGAGTTTCGATCTGCTTTGGTTACCTGGCTGAAAAGAAGGACAAAGGACAAAAGAAAGAAAAGAAGGAAACAAAGAAAAGGACAAAAAAGGACAAAGGTCACTCCAACATCGACCAGACTACGACGGCGATGGATGCCAAGTTCAAATGTCACATGGGCATCGGGGAATGAGGAAATGGGATAAAAGAACAACCAATAGAACCGCCCGACAGAATAACTAATCGCGGCCAAAGGTCATCCCCGGCTACCAGCACGTACATCAACACACACGTAACACTACTGAACGCATAACCACTAACCCACTGCTACGCATATCTACGCACTGATGATGTCACCTGGATTGGTGATGAAACGTTTGCAATCAAATTGCCCAGCTCAACGAACAAGCCAACGACCAGAATTTGATCCAAGATGGAGATTGTAACGAACCGATCCAGCAGGGTTGCTGGACACCTGGTCACTTGATGTACAGGTCTAATGAAGTCTTTCACTGGATAGATTGATAAATAATTTAAAAAAAACTCCGTTCAAAAATCTTCTTACGTAAAACCTGTCTCACCACATGATGAGCTTCAACCGATTATGCGGCATTGAGTATTGAACCCAAGTTTAACGATACGTAGCATCTGCTAACGTCTCCATACAGTCAAGATGTTGACGGTTTGGCAGTGCCCCTTCTGTACTTCTCAAAAGTATTCCCAAGGGACGTGTTTTTCACATGGTCTCTACAAAAAAACCTATTCATGACAGTGTTCCCACTGAAAGGCGATGTCCTGTGTCAGGAGCTGTACCATGGTTGATGATCCATCCTTTGTCTGTATAAGAGACTCGAGTAAACTACGGCTTCGATGCAGGAACATGTTTCGGTTCGAGTGGCTCCTAGCTTCCGTGTGTCGTGCTGCCTTGCTGATCATATTCGGTCGCACATGCTCGACACTGAGGATGCTCTTAGTGAAAAACTGTTTCGACGCTACCATTGACTCCGGTGAACCTTGGGAATCAGCCCACTTTACCGATCAATCTGAATAAGCACTCGAGGATTTTATGAGAGCAACCGATCGCGAATGAATGCCGGTCCTTGAAGCAGCTCGTGAATTCAAACAAAATGTTCTCTATCGTGATTTAACAGCCCTTCGAGTAATAGACGGAGTGCACTGACTCTCTCTGAGTGGGAGCTCTGATCGCTTTGAATTACTCGTCTGGGATAGGAGTGCCTTAATCTCCTGAATTTCACTATTTCCCGGCTTACTGTAACAAACAGTTGTACATATTCGCAGAGAGCTCGAAAGCTCGATACATAACAAGTGATATCAAGTAACATTCAGCTTGCTGCTGAACGTTGCGCATTGAAGTCAGTCAGTTGTGCTTTGTTGCTTTGCTAGTGCACAGGAATAATTGACAATGGTTGAAGAGCCCGTTTGTGATTTCATCCTCACAAATACAAGTAGGATTCTCTCTGTTTGCTCACTCTGGCGACTGATCTCGGCGGAAAAACTGGGATCGTTCAACTATTCCATTGACAGTACTAGCCGAATTCGGCAACCATGGTTGCCGAATCTTTGGGGCCTTGTTATGAACATGCGTATTTTTACGGTTGGTCGAGCGCCCTCGTTGACTCTGTGCAAGCTGGTATTCGTGTTGAATGCACTGAGGATTAAAAGCTGTCTTAGCTCTGTTTCGAAATGTCTTATTTCATCAAAACCTAATTCTTCTCGTCGGTAACCAGCGGCACCGATGGCATAAGAGGAATCCTATTCGGGATGACGATGTTATGTTATGTTATGTTCGCCGAGAGATTTGTGTTCAGACAATAGTAACCTAGGGGATGAAAACTTGCTGGTATACACAAGAGTGTGTCGGAAATCAAAATCATTTTTTGACCAGTGGTAGAGCTGTTGTTATTGCATTCAAACTGCTTCCAGCCCAAACTGCAATGATCAATAAGGTCTACAAAAGCTCATCATCACAATACAGTTACTAACTGAGGTACTCGTGACCAAAGCGCACAACATATCTAAGGTTTGCTGAGGCACTTTGAACTCGACTGCTTACACCTCCACTTCTGTATCTGGATCAGCCATATGGAAGAGTTTTACAGACCTTAAGAAAGGTTGACCGCGGGAACCCAAACGTCGGATTACAACAAGTTATTCCAAAAACGCTGTTTTGACTTTAAAAATTCCGTATTACATACTACATGGTGCTCAATCTTTTTAACGCTGTCCGAGGTGAATTTAGACAGGAACTGCACCAGGCTGTAGACAGAACCTCCCAGGCAAAGCGCTGGGAAATTTCGTCACAACCTAAGTCTATCTCGGCTCCTTCAACGACAGTCTACGCTGGCTTACAGGTCTACGTAGGCTCGAACCACCCATCATCCTTCCTAGAGCTCATGATTTACTTGTGTCCACAATCTCATGTCCACACGCGGCTCTGAAAGTTGTGTTAAAATCGTTGGGCATGATTATCAGCTATGCCCTGACTCGTCATTTGCATTCGATCCGCCCCTGTCTGGAGCGTCAGCACCCTCCAACTGTGCGTCTATATCCACAGTGCGCACATGGCCAAAGCAACTCTAGCATGAGTATGAAACAGGACGGGGGTGGAGTAGGGTGGGGCTGACACTGCCGTTGACACTGATTCCGAAGTCGAGAGCACATTGGAATCGTCTGACTCACTGAGGCGTGACGAAATCAGGCGGAACAATGGGGAACCATGCCGGGAAATGGTGGATATGGTGCCAGTTATCAGCACAATGCTCTCAGCTGCAAAACTTTTACAAGTGGGGTAAAAATTCTTGCGCCAAAATGTTGCATTTTGTTGCGTTTGTGCTCAAACCAAAAGCCATTCTGATCGACGTTCATATTTTTGCACCTCACCAAATTCCACTGTCCACTGACGCAACCATACCTCTGTCGGAAAAGTCTGATGGAATGATTCCCCAGCATCGCTGAGACCCCGGGATGCCTAAATGGGGCGCGAAAGTTTGGACTGGTACTCCGAACTCGATTGCCCGATTGCTTCAGTCCATCAGGGACACGTCATAGCCTTCGTAAATTCAATGCCATTGTGCGAATACTGAGCGCCGGTGGATATTGAAGTACCGTTGGAATCGCGATCCAACCTCTGACTACTTAAGTCTTTGATGGTAGCGTAAGGATAGTTGGGAATTTTCAATTAGAATTTCGTCCCGTGAGTGAAGCCAATCTATGCTGACAGGCCGAAAAGCGTTATCCCTATTCGGGATTGTCACCATGAAACTTCAGTAATGAGTTCTGCGCGTGCGACCTCTTGGTTAGTAGCTTGTAACTTTAGCCTTTCAGTCACGAGCGACTGAACAGCTGTGTGATTAAGTCGTACTTAGACAGGATAAAGCACCACATATCCTTCAATGACGGAATCCACATCACGTATTGACTGGTCCCTCTAGTGATGACTTTTAAGACGGAAGTTTCACTCGGGTTTTACCTGAAACAGTCTTTTGCAATGCAGCAGCCCTACTCCTCAGCATGTCCATTGGTTGAACTGAGGGAACCATTAGTGACGTCTTTCATGTAAAATGTTTCAGCCACAGGAGAAGGTAAAGATTACTTTTTTTCGCTCCGAGACATGAGATATCACATTTGAATGCATGTGTGAGCAGAAGACGAGCCATACTTTATTGCTCACACATATGATATGGGTTTCTTTTGGTTGGTAGCGGAAATTCCATCCTTCTAGCATGCAAAGTACATAGTTTGATTCTATTTGAGACTGTGCGTTTACTCTACGAAGAGTATCCCCAAGAACGCTGTAGTTCAGAACACAATTAGTCCCGGGTAATTTGTGAAATTTTACCTGAGAAGTAGATCTTGCGTAGCATCGGTACTACGCAGGAGTGATGTTCGCAAACACCAGAGAAAGACGGAGCAAACAGAAGCGCGATTTCCGTCAAGAAGCAATGTAGGTAATTATCTCAACTACTGGGAATATAAAGACTCACAAAAGCCAACAGCATTCACCCCAATGATGAGATCTCCATGCAAGACGCAGGAAATGAATATGAAACAATCGCAGTAGATGTAAACGAGCTGCGTTTATTTAGGTTTGTTCAGGCGGCAGAAGACCGGGCGGTAGTTTCGGAGAGCCTGTTCTCCTGGAAACTTATCGTATGACGCAGTATGAATATCCGTACTTCTCGTGGTGTGTTCGAGATAAGGTTCTAGGGGAATCCGGTACACCTAAAAAAACTGACACATTTTTTGAGTGATACTTTCAGTGTACTTAAGTTTACTTCATAGTGGCATGGTCAGTTTCACCGTTTGAATCTTGTGTGAACAAACACAACCCGGCCTGATTATGGTAGATTAGGAACAGAATGCTATCAAAAATAATTCCCGCAAACCTTCATTGCGGCTGCCTTCTTAGATATACGGCTTTGGGTCCTCGAAGGTCGACTACATAATCCCTCCAAAAAGACGTCAGAAGAGGAGCTATTGCCTCAGTTAGACGGCATCACCGAGGTGCGTCACAGCCGATACATCAAGAGTGGCCAAATATCATCTAGGGGAATACCATATTTAATATGATCAGGATATAAGCCTACCCACCGTAGTTACTGGCTTTCTTACCTCACTTTACTGTCCGCAATGATCTGCTGTGAAGACTAACCAGAATGTTTGCACCAGGACAGGAGGTAGACTGTTCAAACGAGACTGCTTGAATGTAAATTCTGTAAACCACGAAGCCACTTGCAATTGTCTAGGTTTCTTTTGTATGTACCGACCATCAGAGTTAATCTTAGGGCAAAGCTCGATTCCTTTGGATACTTTCTAGTGTAAACGACAAATTTCTGCATGGGATTTCACTACTGGTGGATTGCTGTCGATAGTGATGTGTTGCTCCCAACGTGAAAAAAAACGTTGCGAAAACTTGTGCCAGCTTCGAGTTTGTCCTATCTTTGAAGAGATAGTAATAGTTAAAAACATTGCTCACTTTTTCAACGACCTTAATGATCAGGGGTCTAGTGCTGGCTCACCCACTATTCTACCTGGGACCACGTTAGACCCATTTTTGACTGGAGGTATTCGGTTTAACGTGATTCATTATCTACTGTAACAGTTAGAAATAACAGATATATTCGTTTCTTGTTCCAAATGATGATAAATAGAACAACTCAGTGGACAGAATTTCATTCAGATTCATCTTCCACTCCTACTTCATAGTTGAGCAGGTGCTGAGTTATTCATCACCACTAGTTCAGCATTTCACTGATACAAGCAATAGGTAAAACCACATCTTGAGATGCCATCGAAGGAAGGTCACGCAAACAAAAGATCCATCTACTAGTATACAACTCACGGGATCAATATTTCCTGACAGTTGTTTATCAGCTGTTTTCCAACCATAATCACCAGTAATTGTTGAGCTAGCTCGATGAGGCAACCACCGTTATTACAGTCCTCATTGCGCATGCCAAAAAAGTAGGTATAGTGTCCTGGATATCCGACAAATCTGTATGGATAGAATAGATTAGGCATGAATAATACAAACATGCTGAGTTCAAAACAGTTTGATGAGAACCTGAGAACCAGAGAAGTTGGTGGGGGAGTACTTTTCAGAGAATATATCAACAAATCTGCTCTGATTAGAACAGGAAACACTCTTGATTGAATTTTAAAGGATATTTTGAAGCTTCAGGGTCTGTTACCTGTTGAAACATGCTGGATTTCTGCGATATGTCCCAAAATGTTGCTGCAATTGTTTTCCTGTCGTTCCGAAATAATTGTCGGTAAAATAACACCATGGTTTCTAGGTTTGACGATGTCCAATGAATATCAGAGTGGGTAAAACCACTTCTTCAGATTTACCAAGTTACGTATGGCGTTTGTTTATCTAGCTAACCAAAAATGGAAAAACGGTGCTCATGGATTCTCTCGCTGCAATGTAATCGTCCGATGACTTGACATAAGAGTCGGCACGATTCGCTCAAACGAACAAGTGTTTTATCATGTGATTGGTCAACAGATATGAACAACTTGAAGATCAAGATAGTTTCTTTAGGCTACTTAACCGTGATTACTAAACTAGCAGTCGTGACAAACCTACAGCAGTTCTTAACACGTAGTCCTCCAGCAAGCAATGCCTTCCGAGATCCCTTTCTGAATGACACTACACATTGATGAGACTTCAAGTGATTCCATGAGGGTTGAATTTTTTCAGCGAGCTTTTGCATCCAGGAATTCAACACTTGGACTGGATAATCGGAAAACTGAGTGTATGATACAGAGGTACACCACATTGCAGTAGTTCCCTGAACGCTAGTGATTAAAAAAACACCAAGGGCATTCCATGAGGGTTGAATTTTTTCAGCGAGTTTTTACATCCAGGAATTCAACACTTAGACTGGATAATCGGAAAACTGAGTGTATGGTACGGAGGTACACCACATTGCAGTAGTTCATTGAATGCTAGTGATCGAAGAACACCAAGGGTTTCAGGAGCCGCATAAAGAATGTAGTTTTGATCAACTGACGTAATGCATCAGAGTCGTACACGCTCCATATTATGGTGCTTTGGCAGCTGAACGTCTTCAGCACTAAATAACACAGTAGAGGTGAAATGCATTCTTCATCAACCGTAGTGAAGTTGCACTCACTTCACCCATACACCTTAGCAGTGTCCTGACAATCAATCTTACATCTAGATATGCATATTACAGAAGCCGGACATTATGTACTGGAAAAAAACCACACCCTGATCACTCATTTAGAGAACCTTCACAGGCAAACCCTATTTTTATTCGCTCAACCGAGTAGATCATTATCTTTCACATAGAATTGTCTGATTATTTAATCACTAACAAAACAATCTGTTGAATCCCGTTCCACAGGCAGTACATACGGATCAGTTGAGCACCCTCACGCTTAGGATGTTTTCGATTTGCTCTGCTGATTCCCCCTATTTTTACTTGGACAACTATGGATTGCCGTTGGAAGACATGGTCATCTTGAAGAGTGATCATAATAGGGGTGAATAAATCTCAAAACGGCGTTTTGCGTTACTTTTTGGGAAGCTTATTCCCCAGTTGGACTATCCCAAAGTAGAAAGACTCGGTTTATTAAGATCGTTTTCTTCATGCATCTCCTTTCATACTGCGTGTTGAGAACTCAGTGTTGAACCCAGTTCTCATGACGAGGAAACAGTATAAGCCGTGCATGGGTGGGTAAGTAGAACTGAAGAAAGAGGATACCAGTAAGAACTCAGTCTTTAGTTGGTGGGACGATGGGTAAATCCACGACAAGTCAACTGTAGCTTTATTCGTTTGCTCCTTTGCGAAAATCGGTTTAAATGCTACTCGGAAGTACTGACGTATGAGAAGTTACAATTTTGGGATGGCATCATAGTTCGCCTGCAGGAGTCACGTAAATGGAAGCATCAGTTTTAGATACTAGTGCACAGCAATCGGTGCCCTCAGCCTCCATAAATCAAGACGATGTCATCTTGAGTTTGCGCCTGCATTGCCTTGTAGCTTAGCATAATTGCTGAATGATCTCTTGTGTGGAAAAAGTACATGTGTAACCAGCTTTCTCGGAATATGATTGCGCCTTTATCCTATGCATTCGGCAAAATCACGAGCTTGGTACTTATATCACCCTCTGCGGGAATCGACAGCAATTCGGACAAAACATTTGGCTACTTTGGAGGTTTTGAGAACATTCTGCAGATTTATCACGGGGGGGGGGGTGATTGTGCGAATAAGCCAACAACTGGTTAGAACTGATGTCACACATAGACAATCTTTCGACACCCGGTTACGACCTTTGTCATGCATGCAGTCATGTATGGTGTGTTTGGTGAGAATGCCTTGCGTGTCGTGAGATTTGTGCGCGTGCGTACGTTACTTATCGTGTACAGTGGGCACCCAAGATTGGGTCTCGATGGCTCTCTATAGGCATCAAGATTTTTCCACAGACAGTGAAGCATCGGTGTTGAACACTGATTTCATGCTGTCGATGACGATGATGATGATATCCCCACAGGTGTGTTGACGACCGGACTGAAATAGCATCGTCCCCCAGTTTGTTTAATTCTTTGATACTTACACCAGCGGCTTTAATGGAGCCTGTTTTCCAGACGGAGCCTAACTGGTATCGGATTCCAGGTGTGAATCAAGGTTAACTGCTCTGGTAACAAGAACAAAAATCTACGAACGTTTCTGATTATCCTGAGTTTTTGTCGAACGTGCATATTTTATTTGTTCTGAGAGTTAAACGCTAAGCCGGATTCATTACTGCTCCAGAACACTCCGAAGTTTGGTCCGGAGTCGACCCCAAGCCATTTCTAGGAAGCTGGATGCAAATATTCTAGTCGATACTCACTAAATGCCTATGATAGATGAGTGACTGAATGAATAACTGTTCGGGAGCCAGCCGTCCCTAATAACCGAACAGCACATCATTTGGACGGATGTGTCACGTGCAGGACACGGGCCAAACGAAGGCATGCCCTGATTGGTCAGAATGCCAGCCAATTCGGGTCAAGCATCCTTGACTGGACACTTCTCGTCCCCTCACGGAGATTCTGGCATGACCTTGTGGAACACTCTGTGACTACCCTATAAATACAGTTGTACTGATTTTCCTTTGTCTCCATAAAGGGCTGTGTAGAGCTACCGTGCGTTTTGATATACCATAGTGGGCGGAGCAAGGAAGCCAAGGGACCGATACAGAGTTGCATTACCGTACATCAAGACATAACAATAACCCAGTGTTACTAATTCAACTACTGATCCGGCGATCCGTAATGTGCAACGTTTCATCCTCACCGAAATGAACTTTTTAACCTTGAAGGTTTTAGGTGGGACAATTGGGTGGGCAGAAACAGGTGCTTTTGCAGGAACGTTAGCTCCTGGCAAAAGATGCAATTGGTCCACAATATGTCAACGAGGAGTTCCCCGCGGATCATTGAGTGTAATACAGAATGGAACTACAATCAGTCTTGGTTGTTCGCCGACCTTGACAGTTGGATTACAAACGTTTCATCACCAATCCAAGTGACATTGTCAGTGCGGCATTGAGTGGGTCAGTCTAGTACAAATGCACGTTTATGAAGCAAGGCATCCTTTCAATTAAAAAGACAGCAAAAACATGCGATGATTTATTGAACATGAGTAGTTTTTTTAAACAACTAAGTTGACAGAGCCGACCGGAAATGACCGATTGTCCCAATGAAACTTGTGTCAACTCATTCCCGGTATGCCTGCAAACTCGTTAGTCGCAAAAATGTTGCCATCGGTCAGGCCAAATAAACGAATGACGGTAAACAGCTGCGAATCCTGCTGCCACATTCAACAACACTATTTGTTTATTTGGATAACAAAGAGGAAGAGCACCTGGAGAGCAAACAGGTGATACCTGCTCTACAATCGAATATGGTGAAGATAACTGGGGTACACGATACGATGTCACGTCGAAACAGACTGAAATAGACTGCGCTTTTGTTTCACACACACCTACAAACCATCAAACTTGGTGAGGAGAAGGCAAACGATTCTATCTCGAGGTAGTATCAATAGGCTGTTGTGCAACCTAACGACTTAGCGAAACATAGTCGCAGTCATCCTTTTTCAGAACGTAGTCAGATTTCTTGATTAAAGTTTGTCCACACTGCTTTACTGAACCCAGCTGGTTTTACAGCAGTGATGAAGAAATGTCGTTTGCGGATTCTAAAGCCACAATGTTATCCCACTTCTTCGGTATAATATGCAAGTAAATCTGATCAGTGTTCAACACTGATGTTCTCTGCCGTACACGTGCCTATAATGTTAACTCTTGCCCGAAGTTGGACACCACTCTGCGAGCTGGACTGATGTCAATGTGAGACTCAAACGTATCTCTGGATTAGGACGTTCTTCAACTGGTGGTCTTGCGTGGAGGCTGAACCGATATTCAAGGTAGCAAAGATTTGTTTGACACAATATATAAACAGATGGTGCATGGTGTTTCAGGAGAGAAACGCTTTTCTCCGTACAAAAGAGATGCTAGTTATGATAAATCCTTCCCCGGAGTAACCGACGGAACACACAACACGTATGATTGCTGAGATCTCTTCGACAGCCCTCAACGGGTCTCCTCCACTTGGGGTTCATCAGGAAGGCGCGGTTTTCAAGTTTCTTCTACCTGAACCCAAACTGGACGGAATCTGCCAACTACTTTCATTGACGCATCAAATCGGTTTTAATGGCAGACTCAGCAGAATCTAGCTGTATCTCTCATTCAGGTAGAGCAGAGGGTTCACACAAACTCGCGGAATGCGCCTACCTGAAGTGCTCTAAGAATGACAAGACCGGTTGTGGGCTGTCGTCTATTATCTTGCGACATTTTCAGTAGTATCTAACGTCCAGACATTGATGAATATTGTGTTGTTTTTCCTCGGGACAAGAAGTTTCAGAATGATTGTGAAGCATTTAGAGATATACACCCTGGATCACCATAAGGTGCCTTCCAGAAGGCATGAAAAAATGACAAACAATATATTCTGCTGGTGCTATTGCGTAAATTTGGTCACTTAACATTTTGGACAGGAGCGAAAGGTCTTCAAAACAGATTCAATCGAGTATGACTCACCGTCCTTTGAAAAAAGCGATATACACGATTGACGAGTAGAAGTTGATAAATTGGAAGAGAAATACTTTGAAGATCAACTGATTATCAAACTCGCTTTGTGTTCGGTGCATTTCTGAAACAAGGGGATAGTGAAGACATTCAAGTTAGTGAATAGTACAGTCTTTCTCTGAGTATTTTACAGATCTCAAAATGATTTAAAAATTCAGACTCATCGAAACGGATGATTTCGGGTTACCAAAGCCGTGGCTGGTGCTGTCCGAAATATGCACGGACGAAATCTTCGGATAACAACCACTTTTTATAGCCTTGCAAGTATTGTCTTGTCTTGGTTCGGTATTATGCCTTTTTTTGCCGTTATCCTTTCCCTGGTGTGTACAAATCTATCAGTTGTGGAACAGATATGACCCATATAAGATATGGGAATTACCCAACTGCCAATGCCTTCATTAACAAAATCAGCACATAACGGTCGTTTGGCGGTTTGGAACTCAGGGAGCGTTGCTAGTATACAGTACCAGTATACCAGTACAGAAACCTGGTATTTTGTTGACAAATACTCAGTTAGCCACGTCCATTACCTTAGGATAGTTGAAACCGCACATCGAGTTAGCCTGCCTGGTGCTAAACTTCCTAAAGGAGAGAAGCGTAACTAGGGACTCCACGTATTCATGAATGTATCACGAGTTGGGCAAAAAAAACACCTTTTTGGAAACTCGCAGCGTTCCATCCTCACAAACTATTATACTACTGCCCTGCATGCCATGAAAGCGCATCTGAAATTCTTGGCGAACACGTGGCAGAAAAACATGAAGAAAAACGAACTGACTTACCCCATTCTGTCATTTTCTGAGCCAGTTTCTCATAAACTTTTCCCAGACACATGATGACAACCAGGTTGACAAGAGCGCCAGACATGCTTGCATATATTCCGGCGTTCGCACGCAACAATTTGTTTTTGAATAATGGGACCATTATGAGCAGTCTGTAGATTATCACAGCCACGATAAATACCATGACAAGGACGATCTGGATGTTAGTAAAAGGGGAGAATGACAGTCAGACATCATCAGTGTAAAGCCGTGTAACAAATAATAACCAATCTATGCTGAAAGACCGAGAAGCACTGTACAGCTGTTTCATCCTTATTGGGAATCATCAGCAGTGCGCATCTCACGAAACTCCGAAGAGTCTCGAACCCGCGACCTTCCGGCTAGTAGTTTGAACACTTAACCGTTCGGCCACGAGTGGCTGATGCTTCACTTACAGGACGAAATCCCACAAAAGTCTCAAATCTCCTCACACTACCAACAATATGTAAGTAGCTCAGTGGAAGAATAAACTTCACTCGATGAGTGAAACTTCTATCTGAGAAGTCGTTGCTCGAGGAGCCAGTCAACACGTGTGACCGCGTGATGTGGATCCCGTGATTGAAGGATGAGCGGCGCTATATCCTGTCTAAGTGCGAGTTAATCACACTGCTGATCAGCCACTCGTGGCCGAACGGTTAAGTGTTCAAACTACCGGCCAGGAGGTTGCGGGTTCGAGACTCTCCGGAGTTTTGTTAGATGTGCACTGCTGATGATTCCCAATAAGGATGAAACAGCTGTACAGTGCTTCTCGGCTTTTCAGCATAGATTAGCTTCAGTTGCAGGACGAAGTCCCACAAAAATCTCAAATCTCCTCACACTACCAACAAACAATCATTCAGGTGTGATACACTTCCGGTGCCTAGCTGCCATGCCACACGAAGGCCGAGCTAGTACTAAGTTGCCCAAGTCCAGACGGGGACAGTTGAGGTGCTGAGGTTGGATTCCAACCACGGACCTCCCGGTAGGTAATTTCGCGCCTTAGCCACTGAGATATGTAGAGTTTATCCTAATGCATTATGAAAACATGGCGTATAGTCTATTTTCAACCATGACTTGCGTTTTTTAGTGAGCACTGGCGCATTGAGCGCATTGGCTTCGAGCTACGTTTTCTCAGGCAAACCTTTCACAAAAGTCTGTTACATACCAGCTTGGGTCTCAAGAGAATCTACCGGTCTTTACGGCCTTGAGCAGAAGTCTTCCTCTCTTACCTGTGCAAAGCAAACCATCGTAAATGTCTCAAGGATAAACCCCACCATAGGAATACAGTGGCTTCCTCCTCAACTCTCATTGGCTGGTAACTCCCCTGAATTGCTCAAAAGAGCGTATCACAATCACTGTGGTACCCTGTCTCTGAGGGTTCCATCCAAAGAAGAGGTCAGTGTTCAGGAAGAAACTGTGTGGCCTGGAATAGTTTCCCATGGGCGCGATTGTTTTCTTTGTTACCAGAGTACGTGCTCGTGACAAATGAGTTGTAATTCATGGTAGAATGTCGCTAGGTGATACGAATCACCTTCCCTACTCGCTGCTTGGTCAACGATGTCTATGGTGAAACCGTCCAGCTATAGCACCCTTTTGGTGCCTAACTGCCATGCCACCCGAAGGTTGCACGAGGGCTGGGATACTGCCAGGTTGCCCTAGCCTTGACAGGGGAAGTCGAGAGGCAGAGGTAGAGTTCGGACCACGGACCTTTCGGTCAGTAAATTCGCGCTCTAACCACTTGGGCCATCTCGCCCCATGCCTATGATGAATGGTGTTCTAAACCAGTTATTTCAGAAGAGGCAGATTCGCAAGAGCTACTCAGAGTATTTTCATACAGGAAACTACTCACAAGGTCGCTGAAAATCCTTCATTAGCCGATGAGAAGCTTCGCCTTTCTTAGGACTCATCAGGCAGGCGCAGTCTCCGAGATTCCGTCAACCTTATGTTCTACTTGAACCCAAATTGGACTGATTCCGAGAAATACACTCATTTGCAAATCATTTTGGTTTTCAAGAGAGACTCAACTGAATCTCTCGTTTATGACGGCTGCCCTTGTCATTTCTACGGCCAACAAATTTAGGTTTTGTTTTGACGCCTGTTTGACAGGACTGTAACTGAGTGAGGACGGCATCAGGAGGCCTGAGTGATACTCCATAAGGTTGTGATTTATGCCACAAGTTCACACGTACTAGTTGTCCAATGGGCCTTAAGCTGTGAGAAAAATTATTTGGGCAACGTATAGGTAACCGATAGGCCGACCAGATCATTCCATTTATGGCTACAGCTACAGGGGAACCATTAACTTAACGAGGCTAATTGGCATGTAAGACCCATGCTGTTAGTGACCGCAACTGCTTGAAATCATATTTTCTCGTGCAGCCTTACTACCTCTTACCAATCTTGCTGGGAGCCTGTTCAGCCACAAAAACTCTCCCAGGATTTGGGCAATAAAGTCGTCGTCTTTTTGGATACGTTCCATTCGTTCCAACGAAAAATTTTGTACTTTTTTTGAAGCTTTCATTTTTTTAGATATCTGATTGCATAAGACACTACCACAGACGCAGGATCCCTTGTCTCCGGACTTTAATAGGCAGTTTAAAAACTTGGACTCCATCATTAAGGTTCTCTACCGCGCAATAGGGCCGTCACATTTGATTTTTACACCACAGTTACTTTAGCCATTGTTAGTATCTGTGTTCGTTTCTTATTCCAGTTCAGCATAAAAAAATACCATTGTCTTAGGACAGGCTGAGTCGAAAAAACGACTCTGTCAGGCGAATTATTTCGTGAATAAATGATTTCTGAATCGAAACTCAAGATCGAAAGTCACAGGCTGGTGTTTTGGGGAAGAACAATAAGTCTTTTTAGACACGCTTTGTGGCTGACAGTTAGTGCTGCCCGGTTCGTTAGTCTACCACCAGTTGATCAAACGTGATATTGAAATAGCTACCAGAATATACTGATGGTAAAATAGCTCTGAATAGCACTAAAAGAGGAATGCCAGTGGGTGTACACATTCACATGTACAAAAACCGACCGCAAAAATGACCGCTATACACAAAACTCTACTTGAAGCGCCGAAAGACAACCAAGTGTCTACCACGGTTGTGTTGACTCGCATGTTGGGAGTTCCTGGTCAAGTACGGGCAACGCCAACGACACGCTTAAACCACCGAATACGACAATCGAGCGTGAACATGCTTGTCTGAGCACACCCGCCTTCTTCTGGCAGGCACGAAAGCTGATTGTTCTTTGGAAAGAGTTCGAATTCCGGCTCGGTTGGGATTGTGCGTTGTTGATAATTTAGAGGGACAAAACTCGAACCCAGTGCTTCCAATATGGTGTGAGCTGACTAGCAGGCAGAGAGCTTTCAACGGATAGAGACTCAGTATTTAATAACGGAGCTCGGTACATAAAAATATCTTGGTTTGAAGTTTATGCTGGAATCCCTTCAACTGTTTTAGACGGTACCAAAATAGTAGGCAGAATAATGACACTATAATAGCCTACGCTGCATCTTGCACCATTGAGCGGATAGGCCACGCGGCCTATGTGCCTGACCCCCAACAAGAAACCCAAGTTTTGTGTACAGGTGGTTGAGGGGGATAAATATTTGGAAAAGACATGCTATTTCATGGGCTCATCCATGGATTTTATAAGCCGTATTAAGCAGTTTCTGTGGAGCATACCTATTAATTTCGTTAGGAAAGTAGCGTCTTTGGGAACCCACAAAATTCAGCGAACCACTCACCATCCACAAAACACAAAGAAGGCCGGCTATAAGACGCAGGATCCGTCGTGTCCGCGGAAAATGTGGTTCCAACACTCCAGTGATGGGATTTTTTGCAATTTCCGAACATAATGCACTGTACTGAGGCCGAGGCCGTTCTTCCTCCAACTCATAGTCCAATACGTCCCAGCGATGGGCCAGTTTCGCATTTTTTCGCTTCCAGTACTCCAAGAAGGTGACTCCTGAAATCACAATACAGCATTTGATTATAGCTAATATGTGGGCGTACGAGCATTGGTGTCTACCCTGTGAATTTGTGTTTGTCATTATTCTCTATAAAATTTTGTGAGACCGAAAACCTAACCAACGGTGACAAAAGGGATATGGAGGTTTTTTAAAGGAACTGAATTCTTGTCAATTAGATTAAGGTGTAGTCTTGAATGATGGGCGGATGACAATGGGATGGGATGGGGAAAAAGTTTGTAGAAGCCCCGTGGGCAACCGGAAGAAGGGTGATCATATTACCCCGGCCGATTTTTCATGTGAAAGCCTTCCGGAATAGAGAGACGATTACCTTTTACCATTCACAGGACATTTTGTCGGTATAATAAACATCTAACCCTTCCAAGATAAACGCTGCCTGAAAGTGACATGCAGACTCTAGCTAAGCATCTTCCAATACTCTGTTTGTTTTGCTAACGATAACCCTGCACGATCTGCTCACCGTGCACATACGGCTCATCTGTTAGGCTGTGAAACAGGCAACTTCCTTTCCTCACATGGTATCCTCAACATTGTCTATCATCATGAGTAAACGTGCAAGTGACGGTGCGCCACAGGATGGCTTTTAGTGCAAAGCACCCGACCTATTTAAACGATGGTGCCCAGGCTGATGAGCTGACGTCAAAATGCGACGCAACTCCACACCCTTTCATTATGGGGATGATGTGAACTAGCCTGTTCCTCTCCAAACTGGACTCGTTTTAAATATTTCTCACCACGCTTGCATTTTGATTTGAAATATCAAATTCTGACCGTTTAGAGTGTGGACACATGTAGAGGGTCTTGCTCGGGATGGAGGTTTGTTGACGAGTCAATTAAAACTCGGTTGTTTTTCTGCCTATCCCTCTAGCATAAGCAGCACCGGTTTTAACCAAGACAAGGAAAGCGCGGTATCGCTTTCCTTCACTCATGATTCCGTTTGACAGATTGGTGCACACCTGTAAACCAGGAGGTAAGTACGAGGTGAATGGACGGCAATTAGTCTACACAACGATATTCCAGAAATCGATTTCATGTAGCGCCGTTTGACAGCTATTTTCCACTCAAAAACTCCTTTCAAGTCAGTTCACCGAAAGCCTGTTTGTGGAATTCACAGGTGCGAATATGGGTTGTCTTTTTGATTGACAAATAAGTGGAGTTTTTTTTAAAGAGTTCTTCGAAAGAACTGAATCTCTTGGGATTATTACTCAAAGGTTCTAGTGTTGTCATACTACCGAAACCAAAATAAAGTTTTAATGTGATTTCCTGTTGAAGGACAGTTGAAAGAACTATCGAAGTGTAAGCACAATGTGATCTTTAATTTTGTCGGTAATGTGAAGAAATTTAAGCATGTTCAGTTGAAATTTCGTCCGATAAATGAAGGCAGCCTATTCTGAAAAGCCAGAAAGTAGTGTCCATCCTCATTGGGAATGAACAATGCGCATCTCGGAAAATTCCAGGTCGTTTCGAACCCGCTACCTCCCGGTTAGTAGTTTGGACACTTGAAAGTTCGGCTACGAGTGGCTGATCAGAGGTGTGATTGGTTCATAGTTAAGCAGGACGTAGCATCACTCATTCGTCAACCACTTGCTCACTGGCCCTTCTAGTTCTCACAAAAGCCTCATCCGTCCAGTGAAACTATTCTTCCTTTGAGCTACTTATAGATTGTTGGTAGCTTGAGGAGATCGTGTGAGCAACCAGTTGCCTCCTCATATGAACCCCCACCCCCAGGTTGTAGATTTCGCCAAGGTCTGTCCTGACAGAATAATGGCACTAAACATGGTTTTCACGCTCAATGAAAAAGTGTTGATGTTCAAACAATATACCCACTACCGAGGAGTCTCCAAAGAATGATGACGTGGAACCGGTGCAAAGTAATCGGGACCGATACGTCAGCTCCATGAATACTAGATCGTCTGAGGTGTACTTCAATGACGCAAATAATGTTGGTGAGCATATTGATAAAAGTGAGCACTATTCAGTTCCGGATTGGAAAATTTATTCTGATCATTGAGTCACTCGCCCATTCACATGTAAACAGCTAATGGACAATAATAATGTGGCCACTGGAAAGTGGCGTTACTGACTTACAAACGATGCACAAGCATAATACAATGCAAAATTTTATCAGTAGAGAAACCGAGGAAAGGTAGCGTTTGGGAACTCACCCCAAATAACCATAAATATGGCATAAAATACCGTCCCTGGGTGATCGAATAGGTACGAGACTCGTAAATAAAAGCACATATCTTTGAGATGCCAATAACGACATCCTTGCTCTTCGTCACATATCGGACACATTACATTGTCACTGTCGCATGCTTCGTTTCTGCAAGACAACAACAAAGTGGGACGTGCATGTTAATCTAATAACCCGCTCGGGAATGTTGGTCAAACCAAGTGACCCAAATCTTTTCACCTAGTTTCGGAACATATATGTTAGGGACCGACCAGTGTCCTAGAATTCAGTTGTTCTCTCTTTTCGTAGGTGATCGATTATTGTATTACACTGACTGCCTTTATTCGAACCCACGACGTTCCGAAAAAGTCTCCAAAGAACCATAAAGAACGTCGTATTCCGTGCAAACAAATTTAGAAACTGAAAAACCGGAGCGAACTTGTCTACTAAATGAAATCAAAATTAAATAAAGACAATGTTCGAGCTTGACAGGGCATTTTTTCAAGTTAGCCACTGGCCCCATTTTGAATAACTCACCTCTCAGTACAATCGTGAAGTTGTGTTTTAAGGCTATTTGTTGACAACCTTTCGGATATGACCAAAATTCGTCTGACTTTTTTTGGATGTTTGGATAAAAGGAAAACTGCAACTTTCGCTAGCCAAGCCGTAGAACAAATGTTGAGTCTAGAAAAGACCAGACAGGCTATCAAATGCAATTGTGGATTACCAGAGGACTTGTCTTTGCTCAGTTCAACTCTCAAAATGGAAATAAATCCACTGGTTTGAAAAGGATGAGTGCATTAGAGATTTCATCCTCGAATTCGACTGTCTCTCACGTTGCTCTCGACTTAGATGAATATCGCAACATCTCCACTGGATAAAGTAAATGGTGAGGTGATTTCATCGGAAGACTCGGAAAGGCTGCGAAAACCTTGTTAGATAGTCGCAGGATTGGAGCCATGCTCGAGTCACACTTCGAGCGCGCAGCTGATTCCATCGCTTGCGAACGCGTTGTCGCACTCGCTCATGACTAATATCGCCGATGCACTGAAGTACATGAGGCTAGGATGTCAAAGAAAGTAGGTTTTTGAAGCCCAGAAAGTGAACAGTCACCGACCACAAATAGGTCCGAACCGGATTCAACGCTGAAGTCAGCTGACTCGTTCTCTTGGTGACGTCCACGGCTACACAAACTTTAATTCGAAGGTTTCTATATGTCCGTAGACCAAGAAAATAGACCAACTTCGGGCTTTTCGAGTAACACATGATCAATACCGTCATTAGGACAGATCACCCGCACAGGTTATAGTGGTATAACTGCCAGCCAAAATCGGCGTCGGGCTCATTACGTTTGAGTGTTGTGGTTTCCAAGTTCACGAACCCGACTATCACCCACAACTAGAAGAAAAGCGTTCAGCAGATTTCCCGCCTGGGAGCTCTTGATAGGTAATCAGAACAGGTTCTGGGTCGTTTTTCGGGCCCCTACGGGCAAGAAAAACTCCGTCAACAAGTTAGTTTCGGAATTTTTCTTCTTATGAGTTCTCACCCTATCTTAGTGAATCAGCAGCAGAAAACTAAGGAAACGTTACCAAAAAAGGGTTTTTCGTGGTGATGCTGTGAAACTGTTGTTTACTATTACGACTAATAATGACTCATCTCTGACTATACAATGTTTACGATTCGTCAAGAAAGTGGATTTCTCAGCTGAATACCAATTCGCACATTCATTGTATTTTTCGTTCATTTGGATAAGGTTGAAGAGAGACATTAACGAAGTTCCGATGAATGACTTATTTGCGACGGTCGAATCTATCGTGACATTCACAAGGTACAGTACTTCTTGAATATCAGCCCTTTCGAAGTCTGAGATTGCCTTTGTGCTGCAAATTCAGTCAAAGGACAGCATAAACGGAAGGTTCATTCAATGACCAACTGAATAGTCGATTTGCAGCATTCGTCAAGTAAATGGGGGGTTTAGTGTAAGTCAGTGAGTGGACCACGGATGCTCCGTCGGGGATGGGTGGTGAATGAGTGAGTCAAAACTGTCTGTCGTTTTCCCCCGAGTACTACTTATATTCGAGGATAATCAAAAGAATAGGGAAGTTTCCGTTCAGGTGCGTCGCACATAGCGAGAAACTTGTGTTACCGTATTAGGTATGTTGGTCTCTAGAGTCAAACACTAACGTTTATCATCACTGGTTTCACTGATTGGTAAAGCTATTGAGGGCTTCAATAAATCACTTTTAACCGGACAACAGATTTTCTTAACAGTAGTAGATAGCCGCTCGATCACGTGTTTTCCTCTGAATACCGGGTTCAAGTAGCCTCTGCAACACCAGTTTACACAGATCTTATATGTAATACTGTTTGACGGAAACTACTTCCACATATTGAATCTCGGCCTAGTAGCAGCACCCTGGGACAAGTTGAAGAGCATCACAAAAGGGAAATCTGCTGAAATCTGTTAGCTACTGATGTTTAGCGAAATCGCTGTGACGATATGTTTCGGAATAACAGGGTTTACAGAGGCTTCGCGGCTAGTCTATAGAGCTGTAGAAGCTCGTTGATTGAGCTCTGCAGTGTCAGAACCTAAGTTTGGTCTGTTGGCGTCATTCAATCAAGCTTTGCAAACCTAACAAGAAAATGGGAGGCACATTCACAGAACATATCATACAAACGTGAGAACTGACGTCAAGTATACTCAGTTAAATAACCAAAGACTCACGATGGAGTGTAGTTATTCATCGTGAACAAGCCGTACAGAAACACCATTATTCCGACAATTGCAGCTGGTAAAAGCCAAGCCGTGTAAAGACCTGAAAAACAAGAAACAAACGGAACAGTGCTAAGAACGGAACTCAGTTCACCTGGAAGTACAAGGCCTTCGGCTGTTTGTTCATGGCTAGATAAATCCTTGGATAAAGGCAGGTGGGTGAACGACTTGGGCCAAAAAAACTGTTAAAAAATGATCTTTTGAGATGTCTGACAAAGACGGCGGGAAAACATGCATTGTGGTATGAATAAGTTTCGAATGAGTATGTAAGCCGTTTGAATCCGTTTCCGTCCAGAACACATGGATATCCCTCATAAAATCACGTGTACAGTCGGTGTGACGTCACTTCTAACCAAAAGCCTCCTGACTGAAACCGTGGAATTTCTAGGCGACTATGTGGAATCTCACTCAGCTATTGTCATGCTTCACCTTCCCATTCTTCAGGATCCCATTTCAGCTCAGCAAGTTTCGTTCACTTCAATGGAATAACTTGTGCCGTCAGCGGGAGCTGGTATACAACAAGTACTTTTAGATGGGGGACATTTTGATAAAAGTTATCGCAAAAAATGAGATATGCTTAACGCCTGTCGTCTTCTTATTTAACCCAGTTCACTCGTGTGAGTTTAAAAAAGGCAAAGGACTTTCACTTTGGGACGTTTTGATCATCAGAAATGGGACCGATACCATATCTTGCTGCGTAATGGAAATGTACTGGAATTTCACAAGGCTTCTCTCCAATAGAGCATGGATTCTCAAATGTTATTTCGCAGAACGGGATAGACATGCATTAAGGATAAGCTCGCGGTGGAAACCGAACAGCTGAAACTGTAATTCGGTCCATCCACCAAAAGCATACATCTACCTTTTTAGCTACATAAGGATTGTCGGTTGTATGAGGAGATTTGGAGATCATCAATTGAGATCTCGTCCTGTAAGTGAAGCAAGTTTATGCTGAAAAGCCTAGAAACACTGTACGGCAGTGTTTAGTATATTCGCAGTTGCGGTGTCAAATCTATATCAAGAGAAGTGATGAAATGGTGCATATGCGAGCAAAATGGCTCGCACTCCAGCGACGCCGTACACTGTCAGTTGACTCTGCCGCAACTCTGATTGGACCCAGGGTCGAATCGGCGACCACAGAGCACTAAATCGACGCAGGACATGTAACTCAAGGCCTTAGCACAAGGCAAATGGTCACAGTCACTGAAGTTCCTTGAGACAATATTTGTTAGTCGGTTTGAGCCTGTGCTCGCCGCCCTAGAGAGACCCAAAGGTTACTCAAGGACTTAGTATTATCGATTAACAGCGTTGCTTCAGACTTCCAATTGATGGCTGTGGTTGTAATTAAGTTATTCTGTGCCGAAAGCATGCGTGAGGCAAACATCCGCATATGCGCGCAAACGAGCAGATACCGACTGAGCTTGCTCGTGTTATTTGGTAAGAATGCAACGGTAGGAGGTCACGCGTGACCAGGCTACGTTTCCATCAAGGTATTTCGAACTCGGACAATTTTTCATCGTAACTGTTTGGGTTGTGGTACGGGCGAAAGGGGGAAGGCTTTCACTGCGGAGTTGTATATTAGTGAAACACCAACTGAGCAGTTATAGACTATTGGACAGGGGACCAGAACTCTCATATGCATCTGCTTACAAAAGTGAATATACATCTCTTTGAACGCGTCTTCCTGAACTTTCCTGGATATTCATCGACTGTTTCTCAAATGCAAGCAAATGCTATAAAGCAAACCCGCAAATTCCGTGATAGATATCATTTTTCCAGAGACGTGAAGCGGATTAACGGGGAAACCATATACTACTCGCATGTCTCATCAGTAGTATCCACCGTTACGCGGGTTGTCGGAATTTTCCTGAAGTTTCAATCAAAATCAAAACGTACCTTTGTGCCTCCACGTCCAATCAGTGGTTGCAAGGCACAAAACAACTTATTTCCATAAATATTGGCAGGGATTAGCAATTCAACTTCCATAAAGTACACGTTTCGAAAAAAAGCACGCCACGAAAATTTCTTATTGTTGGATGCATGAAACCTTTCTTTTGACGGCCCCATTTTGAAACTCGCACATAAAGTGGCTTCTAGCTAAACATAGAGGAACCTGTTTTATTTACTGGTCTTTATGGTACTCGTGGATTTTATCGCGAATGCCATTCAGTGAATTTCCTTCGGTGCAGTCAACTGGAAGCAAAGGCGTGAAGAGAAGTCACCACAAAACGAATCAGTGTTGACATGAGAAGTGACTGAAATGTATGACGCGCTTAAGACCGATCGGTCCAAATTCGTGAAGTTCTCAATCATTTTGCCAAAAACACAGGTCGGTATTCCCGTTCTGCGCTGACGCAATTTGAACAAGTTGTGATATTTACAATAGTTGGACAATTTGAGGAAGCAGAGAATCAGACTTAAAATTTAGATCATATAATGAGAATAACGGTCGATTTATCAAAAACATGATCTGGTAGTTGACCGAGTTTCTCTCTCCAAAGATTCGCCGACTTATTGTTTTTATTGTTTGTTAAAATGCTCACGACAAATGAAAATACGCAACACAGAGGATAAATTTGGAAACAAAATGACTTTTCCTGTTGATAGTGCAATTTTTACTACCTACCAAATAGAAAGGTCCGTTCAGCACAACCCTGAAAGACCAGTTTTGGCACTTTGTGAAAAGCAAAGGGTTGTTTTGATAAATTTGAAATTCTGAAGTAGATTTACATCAACACAGCCCTCCAAATTGTTACGACACATTTTTGAGCCCGTTTTTCAAGAGTTAACTCACCTAACCAAGCAAAATAGAAGCCAATCTTCTCTCCGTAATACTGGCGGATGTGGTTAACAGGCTGGTATCGGTACCAGCATCCCCATCGAGCCCAGTACCAGTAAAGGATCTGACGAGGATTCATTTGTTCCGGATGTTTCAAATCTTCTTCGGTTACTTCATATGAACCCTAGATGTGGGTGGTAAGGACACACTGATGACAGGTAGATGTGCAAATCAAGATAGGTGATGTAGTGATCGGCTTGATTAATGCTGGGTCGAGATGTGGGAAACAAAATTGTCAATTCAGTGATGGACTTCTATCGACAAAGCTGCTATTAGCATAAGCACAAAATTTGTCGTTATTTCTGCTCTAGAGAAACACTTCAACTGTTACGTTTTGAACACACGAGAGCCGCCCATCAACGCAAAGAATAACGCTGACGTAACCGGGCCGACGCAACTAAATTCTGGTTTTCATATGAGCGAGAAATTCATTTCTAAGACCGATGGGCTATATTAGATGCCCCTCCTGCACTAATCGTTGAAAGTGGCAGGTTCGCTCGACATACTGGAAACAACCTGAGTATACCAAGGAAGCATGCTGAAACTGCAAGTTCACTTTCCATCTCACCTACAGATTTCTACCATAAATATCTATTCATTATATAACAACATGCAAGCCGATGTCAGGAAGAAGACCATACAGCCACTCTGGACCACAATACAGATATATCCGAAAACGTACGGCCGGAGTTCGAAATATTCCAAGTATTTTCATTCACAAGTGTTTGATCCTTGCTTACTAAATTCCATTGCATGCGTTGCAGCATACAAGCGAAAGAGTTCATGGTGAGTAGGGACTGATACGACTAACTGCGGTTGATCCTGACTACAACATACTTGATCAAACTCTTCCCTTGCTTTAACCCACTGTTCCCTGCGTCAATCTCATGTATTCGATATTCACCCACAATCCATCATAAATTGTTTACCCTTGACGTATCCAACCAATTCTGACGAACTTTTTCCGCGCGCTTTTTGACCGCTTGCGTTACCACGTGCTGTGCGCGCACGTTTTTCAGTCATTCACGTTGACTTATTGTTCTCACCGGGCGTTCTTTGGACTTGCACCAAATTGTGCAACAATTAGAGTGAAATCTCCATAAGTAGAGGTTTGTATCCTTTTCATTTACGCATTCTGTACGTGTGATACCGCGTTTTATTGATATATCCCAGGATTTCTTACTTCTTGGCTTGTGATTTCGCGCGTCACTCACCTGGGCTTCCCGCGATACCTCATTTACACACATTTAGCATTTGATTCATATACAGTTGGATTGATGAGCACAGACTCTCAAAATATCCTAATTACAGAAGGTTAACATCGAAAACAGACTAGTAAATTTGGTCCGGGATCATCAAGGCTACAGGCTTTCGACCAAAGACTGACGATCTAGTGATTGGTTTCCATAAGATTTTCAGACAACCCTCGCAGTGACAATTTTGGAGGGAGGATCTGATAATACCGAGGGTTTTGCAGCGTCTCTCTGGGACATGTAGACAGTTTTTTGCAGCTTTCCCAAGTCAACAGCGTGGGTTGGACTGTGGTCGATTGGTTGCGGTCGTTCTCACTCAATCGGTGAGGAAGGCCCGCATTTTTGAAGCTCCAGAGGTTTTTGCCCATGCTTTATCACTGTTGCGCCACCTGAAATCCCCCCTAGAGCTGAGCATGCAACGGACCAAACTGATTACAACTGATAACATCAAACGAAGGTAAAGCTCCGTTCTTGATTTCTGGCCACCCTAAACCGTACAAACAGGCTTTTTTAGTGTACAAGTTCCGGGAATTTCTTTGGTGAACCCGCGAAGCGAGTTCCTCAGTTGACGGTAGAAACGCAAGTGTGCCATATGTTGAAGAAACGTACAGCTCATACCTTATGACCTACAGGTGGTCATCGAGATGAAAAGGATTGCAAGTGAGAAAAGATAGCCACAGCTACACTTGAAGTTGGAAACTGTGCATGTGCTGTTTTACAAGGCAAAAACAAGAATTACTGGACGCCTGTTGCTCACCTATAAAAGACTCTGAGAACCTACTGCTTCAGTGCATGAACCAGTTGGACAAAGCCACGTAGGGAGAGAGATTTGGTGAAGTAAGAAACTTTACAAAATGAAAGGGTTTTATGCAGTCAAAAATGCAGAAAAGCTCCCTCAGCTAATGCGCACAGGTCAGACTCAACAAAATGACAATCAGTGGATTATACAAAGATAACATCAAAGTTCTAATACACCAAAAGAGGCAGCGTTTGGGCTGATCGATGCAATGCTTCCAAAAACAGCTAATTTGGCTCTCCTGAGCCGCTCAAAGAGAACCATGGTCCACTAGCTTAGATTCCACTGTTTGTGAACGCGCTAATATGCTCTTCTGTCTGGCTGATAGGCCATATGAGTGAAAGACGCCGGCAAATCTGAGCGTTCTGCTCCGGTTAAGTTGTCTGAACTTATGGGAAAACATGCATACCAGACCAATTAGCCATCATGTCCTCATTAAAAAGTATACTCAAAGTGAATGTGCCAACAATAGATGTATAGAAACTACACACACGTCACGGTACCTTTACTAGTGACGTGCACGATGAGAATCCGGGAGAATCAGGCGGGATTTATGGTACAGTCGTTTTCATTTTGAAGTGCATTTGTGCACGCTTCATCATCTCATTAGTTCTGGTTCGTTTCCTGTCTTTTAATCAACCGCACATGTACAGGAACTTTCTGAATGCATGCATGCCATGCTGGTTTGATGTCTCTATGTAATGCTCACACCTGATGAGTCCATTCGAGAGCATTTTAAAACACAAGTACGTGTCTTAAGATCTTTTCAGCCCCAGGATTTTCGTCATCCGGGATGATCTTACACAGTACTGCGATCGAACGGAAATTACGATCTGAAATGTGTTCACTCAAACACGTGCTCAGAATATATAGTATTTGACTTCGAATGACCAGAACATAAGAATATTTATGGTCATTCTGTGAGTTTACTACCGAGTCATTTTATCGAAGTACACTGGAAAGATTGCTTTTAGACGCTGTTCGTGAATGAGTTGCTCCATAGTCGGTGAACCCGGTCAAAAATCTCTTGAGAAAGAAACGTCATCCTCTTGTTTTCATCACTCCTTGCTTGCCAGAGTCCACTTTCCGCAATCCTTGAGTCCAGGCTGAAGTGGTGTTTTCCATCAGCGGAAACACGTCACAGTATTTAGCATTAGTTAGCGTACCACCCTGTCAAAATATATGAGAATTATCTTATCGAATCCGACCAGTATAGAGCAAATGAAGCTGACACTCTCGTGCATGTGATTCAACTAAGAAACCGATTTACTAGGCTTAGAGAGCCTGAGGTAGCCAGGAGTCACGAATGCTTACGCTTCCGGAGCAGCTTGCACTTAAATCAGAAAACGTTTTGTTCCCAAGGCCGCATATTCGTCATCTTTCCACTGTAAAGTGTCACACCGAACGGTAAAGACAGCCTGTCTGACCTCATTTGTCCGTGGTAACGTTCGTCCAAACACCCAACGCGTCCCTCATCCCATTCTCCGTAAGCAGCCAGTAGTACACATATCGCTCATTTCGGCGAAAAGTTAATGATATTCGTCTCTTAGGGCCGGAACCCATTGAATTCGCTATATCGGCACGATGCAGAGCCCCCGAGATATCTTCGCACACTGTCAATCTGTATTTGCTAACCCATTCAGACCCCGCCCAGAGGAGTTAAACGTAGTTAAACAAGGATTGGGCCATATGCTTCACTTGCTATCGCGCGTCTCTCTTCGAGCAACTGGACGTTTCTGCTTCACATGGTGTGAAAGGAGGCTCTGTAGCGGTCCTCATACAATATCGGTGCGTAATTCCATCCATTCACCATTGTTTCCGTCGGTCTAGCATCTATCATGCTATTATCGAGAAGGGACCCTATTCAAGCCTACTATCACATCTTTGTGGTTGAGAGTGACACACACAAAACTGTTGTGACCATTTCGCTTGGTTTGTCCGAATTCACAAGGATGTCCTTTGGTTTGAGCAATGCTGCACAGCAAAATACTACATGGTCATCATTAACAATGCTTACTTTGACCAAGTTTTATAGCCAGTCATTTGCCTATTGGACACACCTCTTATCTCCGTGCTGCTCTGAATGCCTCAGATAATTTAACAACAATCAATATTGGGAGGTAGTTTCGTTGTCCGAAGTATTCTATTTCTTCTTTCTAAACCTGACAACAGCCACTGCATCCCGATACGCTATCAGATGAACCATACCGCAGCTATTCGCTCTAAATTGCCAGCTTTTGCACTTTCTACTGAAAGTGTAATTGTGGATAGTGGGTTTGATTTCATACGCGGACTACCACTGATCTGGACGTCAACCCTGAAGTGGGACGGCTCGAACTGGGGATCGAGCGAACATTTTGTTCACTGGATTATGTTTAGCGGCACTCACAAGTTTGTGATGTATGGCCCGACAACGTGGACAAAGTAGTCAAAGTTTCAGGCTACTCTCAATCACTCTAGGGACTTGCTTTGTTGACAAAAGGTAAAGAAGTCAGCGATAAAGAATAAAAGGACAGATAACCCTTGCTGGAAAAGTTCGACACTGATACTGTGCCATTAAACGTTGATAAACAAGAGTGGGGACGCACAGCACCCTACTCCTAGATTAGTCACAATACGAAAGCATGTCTTGTGACTTTAAGCCTGACATTACCAGCCTGGCTCAGTCTATTGTGGTTTTCAGTGTTTCAGTAGCTTTAGTACAAGAGTCAGTCTATCTAAGGACCCCCATGAATACGAAATTGTACCTTGGCCCGTCAGTCGTAGCAGTTCCTCCAACTGATACATTCAACCTATCTGGTTTTCCCATCTTCATAATAAATGGAGTACTACACATACACGGACAAGCAAATGGAACATCGATGAGTAACACGTGATCATGTCATTCAAAACGAATTGTGACAAGTATCCGAAAGGAACTTCTGTTGTGTTAACTGATGTGCAAATCAAACAGCAACAGAGTATCTCTTGCTGCACTGCTGTGGCACTCAAGTTATCATACATACAAGCTTGACGAAAACCGTTGCGCGGGGTGATCCTTAATGCTCGGTCTCGTGTTTGGCTTAAGCGAGACAA